CTATTTTTGATAAAGCATAAAACATGTTTACTAACAGACCCAATTTATCATTAGTTTCTCTGTAACAGGACCAAAGTGAGTAAGTCTATGTTTAGTAATCAATGTTTCCATATTTTATCCTACTTAGATATCTAATGAATTCAACCCAGTTTATCATCTAATCCAGCAAAGTCTTAAAGTTTTAGGTTACCACAGTTTTGGAAGCTATTTATAAATTTACCTACAGGACTTTTTAATCTATTCAACCAACTTGTTCTTAACAATTTCCCAGATAAAATCAACCGTCATTTAAAGTCATTTTTATTGACAAATTGCAACAGATGCACCGTGAATTCAGGTAAAATAAAAGTGGATTATCTGTATTATATTTCATGTTGATAACTCCAAAATACATGCAGATATTCAACAAATTCGGACTTTAATTTACAAGAGATTATTGCAGGTCATGTGAACTTGAAAAACATTTGGGTTAGTTTTTATCTTTGAGGTTCAGAATGCCCAATTTTTACAAGGACTTGCCTTTAAACCAAGTAGAGTTCTTTTATAAATTACTTTTAGCAATACCATCCGGAGGTCAAAAATACCACCCAGACAGGCACAAACAAAAACCTTACCATCATGATTTGTACTTATCCTTGACAACAAGTAACCTGATGGAAGCTGAGGGCCAGGTTTTGAACGGGAGTGCTTTAGTTATCTTCGCCCATTTCACAGGTCAAAGGCTCCAGAAATCTTTTGGTCTCTTCTTTTCCTGAGACTCCCTTATGTTACATTTTTATTGGAAAGGCTACCGTTCTGGGTGTTCCATAGAAAAAAAATTTCCAGTCTCAAGGAAATACTCAACTGGCTCCTCCTGCTGCTAAGGCCACAAGGGCTCCTCATAGGAGATGAGGATCTGGTTTTCTATGAGGGGCAACTGGAGTGATTTGGTTTTGCTCATCCCTCTTTCCTTTCCTGGGCAGTTTGGGCAAACTGATTCCAATGCCCCTCTTGCTTACAGTATGCACACAGATTGTAACCCAACTTTGTCTCTGGCCTCTTGGTCCCAAGATTGGGGCTGGGGACACTTACCCATGGGGACTTCCTTTCTTCCCCTGGGTTACCTCATGCCGACTGGAGCTACTGTCATTTTCTTGTCTTTTCATCCTCTGTCACATCTGTTATTGAACACCCTAAGAGCCATCTCTGTCAACCGAGCATAGTTAGTGTTGGGACCTATTGCCAATTTTTGAAGTTTTCTGCAGATATTTAGAGCACTTTGAGATATGAAATAGGTATTAAGGACCACTTGACTACCTCGGGCCTCGGCGTCCAAATTTGTATGCCTTTTTAGATAATCCCACAGCCTTTCTGGGAAGGCTGATGGGTTTTTAAACAACACAACATCAGGTGTCCCTGACAGATAGACCAAACAAACAGGTACCCAGACTCCACTCTTAAGACCTCGATAGATTGTTCGTGTTTCGCTAGGCTGAAGCTTCCGAGTCCCTAAATGGCCTGGTGCTGTAATCCTTCACCCTGGGATGTTTAGGCTGGACTTGAAGGAGCATTCAATCCTCCAGCTAGACTTGAACAAGTTTGGCTTCATTAAACAAGCTTTTTTTTTTTTTTTTTTTCCCAAATTGCCCAGACTTAGTGAGACAACTCAAAGAGTAGCTCTTAGGGTCATGCTGTGGGCTCAGCACCACCCACCTCCATGGAAGGATCCTCTGAACAAAAGGCTCAGTGCAGCTGCTGGGTGTCCCAATGGGGCAGCGATGCCAATAAAGCAACAAGGTGAGACGGTGAGGGACTATGGGACCAGGCCCCAACTGAAAAACTTTATGCACCTGGGGCTGCTCCTGTTAAACTGCTTCTCTGAGCACGAGACTGTGGCCAGGATGGGGCGCCGTATCTAAGTCCGCTAACCAACAGAAGACTCCTTTTGTAAAAAGCACCAATGAGCTACCTGAGTTGCCTGCCAGTATGGAGCGATCGGGACAAGGCCTTTTCACCCGGTCAGGATGAGGCACTTTTTCCTTTCTCTTATTAGCGTTATCGGACTGCAGTGGGCACCACTGTGGGAACTTTACATAAGCACCACCCACCTCTTTGTGCTGCACCTCCTCCATTCAGCTAGAGCTGTAACCCCTGGAAAACCGCCTGCGCCTGTGACTCTTGGGTCCAGCCTTGTTTCTACGGTTGCAGGGTAACACAGGCACCAGGAAGGGAGAGTCCCCCCTGATACAGGTAAAAATGTAAAGTTTCCTACAACTGACAACGAAGTCCATCTGACATTCACGCTACCTTTAGGCAAATTATACTTTTAAACACCAAGTTTAAAAGTTTAAAAAGTACATGAGGAAATGATAGACACTACAGTATCATTAGTTTTAAGTCAAATGCTAATTAATATGAGAGGGGAACGAGGTGACAGGTGGCAAAATACACAACCCCAGAATATGCCACTTTGGCATTGACTGTTCTTGAGCTATAAACAAAAACACAGGTGCAAGAAGGACACTCTGACTCTCCCCCTTTTCTTCCTGAAAACAAGCTAATACATATGGAAGATGTCCTCCCTAAACCAGAAGGAAAATACCATTCTAATCAAGGACGGGATGCCAAGACTGAGAGAATTCTACACAAACCTTACTTATTTCTTATCTTCGTTTGGCTTCGTTTGACATAGTTTATTTACTTCTCCACAATTGCCTCTTTGTTCAACCTGGTATAAAAAGCCTTTAGGTTTTGCCACTTCTTTGGGCCATCTCCTTACGAGGGCTTCCATATCACCTAAAACTTGATTAAATAAACTTGTATGGTTTTTTCCTGTTTACCCGTCTTATGTCAATTTAATTCTCAGGCCCAGCCAAAAACCCAAATAGGGTAGAGGTAAAATTTTGCCTCCCCTGCAGAGGAAAGCCCTAGATACATTTTATTCTATTGATGCACAGCAAACAACCATAGCTGTTTACACCCTTATTTTCTGTTGTAGGAAAAATAGAAGCTTGGTATTAGAACACAGAGTGGTACACTTAGGATGCAGTATGTTGCCCATGGATGAAGTTTATTCTCTAGCTTATTTTTCATATTAAGCTGCCATTTCCCAGTGCAGCCTAGAAGATGCTAAGAGGAACTGTGAGGAAAAAGATGTTTCAAGGCCAATCGTGTTTTAGAAATGATGGATTTCTTTATTGTAGGTCTTTGTAGATCCATCATTATGTTAGTATATATGGTGATTCTCCAGGAAAAGGATATTCCTGTATGCTTCAAACGGTGAAGCACTTTAATGTTTGTTAAATTTTAAAAGGAAGAAAAAAAGAAAGAAAAAAAGAACCCCCAACTGGTTTTTTGATGATAAGAATCCATTATGGAAGGAATTAGTAGGTTCAGGATAATCTAGAAATCCGAAAATCTCTAACTTCCCCCATAACTTAAACTCTTTCCCAGGACTGACAGTTATCTTTTAAGGTCTCCTGGCTATTTGGTAGCATTTGTGAGGTACATTGAAATTTGTGGGGTTTAACTTTTTTTTTAGTAATCTCTATACCCAGTGTGAGGCTCGAACTCGTGACCCTAAGATCAAGACTCATGTGCTCCACCAACTGAGTCAGCCCCAGGTGCCCTGGTATACTGAAGGTTTTATGTGATTTTTTTTTTTTAATTATGCTATGTTGATCACCATACATCATTAGTTTTTGATGTAATGTTCCACGATTCATTGTTTGCGTATAACACCCAGTGCTCCATGCAGAACGTGCCCTCTTTAATACCCATCACCAGGCTAACCCATCCCCCACCCCCCCAGAACCAGAACCCACAGTTTGTTTCTCAGAGTCCATAGTCTCTCATGGTTCATCTCCCCCTCTGAATCTATGTGACTTTTCTAAAAGAGAAAATTATTCTGTTAAAAATCACATTTGACAAGACTTTTTGTAAAAGAGACACTGTGTGCTAAAAGGAGTTTCTGAATATCAATTTATTTTTGTGTTTTTCAAGTCAAGACTGTATGAACTATGTATGAACTACCCAGTTTTTACATACCAGAATAAAAAGAACAAGCAAAGGTTGTACAGGATATCTGATTCTTTTTAATCTGAACAGAAAATAAGTAAGTAGACAAGTTTGCCAAAGAAAGTGGTAAAAACTGAATGTTACATATTATGGAATCAGTACATCAAGTTTTACTTTGGTAGCCAGTGATTCTTATAGTTAATTCTGCAAAAAAAAACAAAAATCAGGTATACAGAAACAAGATTATAAAATGCCCATTTCTGAACCCTAGTCTGATAAAACTGATTTCATATCTAGCTTATTGATAAAATTCAGTTTCAGTTTTCCCTGTGCAAATAATACATGTAAGTCATTAATGGTGGTTTGGTGAGGTGAAATCAATTTATCTTAGGATAGTTCAACATAATAACCCAAATATAAAAAAGTTATTCAAGATTCACAGAGATAAACCAGTGCCTAGGAAACATAATTCACCCATGTGCATAATTATAACATATTTTTTAAACATAAAATCACAGTCAAAGACAGTGATAACATTGCATACTCAGTGCATTGCTTCATGTAGTGCATTCCTATGGCTCATCTGGAGTTTAACACCATGTAACCACCATACTTCTAATGAATGGGCTTCTAACATACACAGATCCATTCAATTCTTTTAAAAAATCCAAAACTCTCATTAAAGACCTTGAGCTTGACATATAAGGACTTTATGTTTTAATATCCCAAACATTGGGAAGATTAGGCATGAAGCATAGTAACCGCCCCCTTGTAAGCAAGACTGCACATAAACTTCTGATATATACCCACAAAGAACCCTCAAAACAACTCAATACTGCAGACCGAGAGGGGCACATTTATTATTTAGCCAAAGAAAATTCAAATGGCTTTCCTGGAGTCAAATGTACCCCAAGATCTATACAAGGAATGAGTATAATGGTGGCAGCTAATGAAATCTGCCACTGTGTAATAAATGCTATTATGCATTGGTGTTGTACATTTTGATAATATACTATGATTTGTTTCCCACTATCATGGAGCACAAGAAAATGAAACTCAAGACTATCTTGTTAGAACAGGATAAATGATGTCCCCAGTTTTAAAGAGGGTTCTTCATTGAAGGAAAAGATAGAGCCATAAAAGTCAAATTAGCTGACTTCAAATGGTTTACATCCCAGGATGAATCAGGTTACACTGATTTAAGCCCAATTTAATTTAGGCAGGTTTTTAACCACAAGAATAAGGACATTCTTAGTACGTATTAATAATTAAACCAACATATACACAATTAGCAAGATCCTATATAATAAATGGTTTAACAACTTGTTCTCAATTATTTCATATCTAATCAATTTGTTGTTTTGTTTAAAAAAAAACAAGCTCAACTTTATTTTACAATGTACTGTATATTTCTAAGTGTGTTCTGTAATGATGTCATTGAAGCAGTCCAGCTCTCCAGACTCTAAGAGCCAAACTCAACCGTATCTTCTGTTATCTGTTTGAATTCGTAATTGCCTCTGCCATCCATATGCAGGTAGTACTACAGGAAAGAAGTGGGGGGGGGGAGAAATCAGTGACTAAGAGAATTTCCTTTTTGTCAGGAATTTATGTAGAGGTTATTATACAAGAAAATGATTGGAAATTATTTTAAGCCACAAATACCTTCAGGAATTTTTATACCCAGAAAGGTAAGACTAAATGAAGAAGTCCACTTTTTTAATATAGCAACAACATAATTCTGCTTGGAGTGGACAAAGTATTTTCCTTTATGAGAACTAAAATACCAAAACTCCTCATTATTTTGAAGAAATCAAATGTTCAAGCACCCTACAAATCAGAATGCTTCCGTAACTCCGCAACCAAGGGTATGATGTACCACAGGCTGAAGTGTGCTAAGTGTAAGCCTACTCAATAGCGCGGTCTTGAATACTTCCTTTTTCTGGTCTCCTGGTTCAGTTCGGAACCTCTAAGTTAAGGCTTTTTATTTGTTCATGGTCTTAGTAGAGGAGGAAAAGAGCTGTACGTAGATATGCCTGTATATCCCATCCTACGAAGACACTTAGGACAGCAGTTACAAAGGCTTATTTTATGTAGCAGCTTTTTATTTACAGAAAAGACGTGTTTTTCCATCCTCTATCTTATTATTTCTTAGCTATTCTGGCCTCTGACATTGCGGTCTGTGTCATCCCTCCTTCACATAATCACTGCTTGATATTCTGTGCTTGTCTCCCCGACCAGAAGAAGAGGGTAGGTCAAATCCAAGCACTCCCACAGCCCTGTGGCTGTGACATTTACGAGCTCCTGAGAAAACACAAAGGCTTGGATACTTTTTAAACTGCTTTGATTACTAGTTATTCAACTTCTCATTTCATTCTGAAAAATGGACAAATTGTAATATATCATAAGATAAGAAAAAGTATCTTTAAAAGTCACACAGCTATATAGAATTTCATTATTTTCACTAAATACTTTCATACAGGCTACCTCTTTGATGCTCACGGTAATATAGGAGACAGGAAGGCAAGGATCAATAACTTTATTATATGAAGAAAGCAACTGATGCCAGAAACACTGGTGCTTGAACCCAGGTTTTCTGACTTCAAATCCCATGCTCTTCATTTTATCATCTGTACACTCTCATCTTAACCATAAGGTTCTTGAGGGTAAAGACAGTACTCTGTGTCCCCCAAGGACATTTAGCCCAGTACTTGGAGAAAAAGTTGCTCCATCAGGGATGTATTTTATGGAACAAGATACCCCATACCATTGTTCTAATTTTTCTCAAACCCTTTCTTTTACCTAAAATGGATTTATCATTTAGGAAGAAGGAAAGAGAGAAAGAGAGAGAGGAGGGGAGGGGGAGGGGAGGGGAGGGAAGAGTTAATAGGGTTTAGTTTGGGGGGTTGATCATTTTACATGAAGAGCTGAAAAGAACTGCCACACTGAGAATGAATGGCACTACTAAAACATCAGGATACATAAGGGATCTGTACCAGTGCAAACCTTACTGTAATCTCTATGTCAATTATAATGATTACCTAATGATTCTATTTTATTACAGTGCAATGATAAACACAGCTGACGTAATTCAGTTTCCCCTTACAGCCATGATCTCACTAAAAATGTCCTTAAACTTTCTGCCATCTAATCCTTCCTAAGACTTTTTCCCTTCTGTCGATACTGGGTGGTGAGAAAAACTTTACTTAGCCATAGCTGTGATAAGGTTGTGTACATTTTAGTTATTATACAATAGTCATTTATAAAAACAGAGAACCACTAACTGGCTCTCCAATATCTCAAATCAACTAGGGCTTGTTTAATATGTATTACAGCTTTCAAAACTGACAACTACAATAATATTTAAGGAAAATCTAGAATCACCTTTTGTCCTTCAAGGTATATGTTTATAAGAGAACATACACCAAGATCTAAAACCATAATCACCTGAATTCACATATTTAAATAAGATAAAATTCCACTATACCATTCAATATAAGAAATACAAACCTCATGGTGTTTCCAAAGAGACTTTCTATGTGACACAGTGAAGAGGGTGATGCCGACCTAATACAAAGAAAATGATTTAGGTTTATATCAATAACACAGAATCACAAATCAAACTCATCTATATATTTCAAGCTATTAGAATGATTGTCTTCAGAAGCTATAATTAAAAATCAATGTAAAAGGGAAAAAATTACAACCGATGCCAATGTTCAAGGTAATGTGAAGTACAGACCATCGACCACATAATAAAAACACACAAGTATCAATAAAATTTTTTTTTTAAAGATTTTATTTATTTGACAGAGAGAGACACAGCGAGAGAAAGAACACAAGCAGGGGGAGTGGGAGAGAGAGAAGCAGGCATCCCGCCGAGCAGGGAGCCCGATGCGGGGCTCGATCCCAGGACCCTGGGATCATGACCTGAGCCGAAGGCAGACGCTTAACGACT